CTTTCTACTTACGGCTAGCCAATTTTCCCAGCACCATTTATTAAATAGGGAATCCTTTCCCCATTTCTTGTTTCTCTCAGGTTTGTCAAAGATCAGATGGCTGTAGATGTGTGGTATTATTTCTGAGGACTCTGTTCTGTTCCATTGGTCTATATCTCTGTTTTGGTACCAGTACCATGCTGTTTTGGTTACTGTAGCCTTGTAGTATAGTTTGAAGTCAGGTAGCGTGATGCCTCCAGCTTTGTTCTTTTGACTTAGGATTGTCTTGGAGATGCGGGCTCTTTTTTGGTTCCATATGAACTTTAAAGCAGTTTTTTCCAATTCTGTGAAGAAACTCATTGGTAGCTTGATGGGGATGGCATTGAATCTATAAATTACCTTGGGCAGTATGGTCATTTTCACGATATTGATTCTTCCTATCCATGAGCATGGTATGTTCTTCCATTTGTTTATATTTAGAAAACCCCATTGTCTCAGCCCAAAATCTCCTTAAGCTGATAAGCAACTTCAGCAAAGTCTCAGGATACAAAATTAATGTGCAAAAATCACAAGCATTCTTATACACCAGTAACAGACAAACAGAGAGCCAAATCAGGAATGAACTTCCATTCACAATTGCTTCATGGAGAATAAAATACCTAGGAATCCAACTTACAAGGGATGTAAAGGACCTCTTCAAGGAGAACTACAAACCACTGCTCAGTGAAATGAAAGATTTGTTAATAAATTATTATAGATCCCCCTATTGGAATATTAGGTAATAATTACAAACTATTGCATAGATCTATAATATTGAAATAGAAAGTTGTTTGTGCATCACAATGCCTGTGACCTATTATTAAGTAAAAACTGGTTATCAAACTTCAAGCATAACATGCCAACTTTATGTAAAATTCTGTGTGTGTGTGTGTGTGTGTATGCAAAATGTGTATCTGCATATATAGGGATACCTAGAAGACTTTCAATAAAATATTAAAACATGCTTATTTCTGGATGGTAGAATTGGAGATAGCTTTTCCTTTTTCTCTGTATTTTTCCATATCATTTTGGAATTTTAAAATAGACACCATGCACTATTTATATAATTTTTAAGTAAACAAAGCCTTATTATTTGGGGAAAAAACAAAACCCAGTAGGTATTTTTTTACTCCAAGGGTGTAACAATTAAGGAGGACTTGGTGATTGATTGGTTATAGAGAGCAAATGTGAAGGATTGGGCAAGGATGACTTTCAATTTTCTCATTCTTTGTAATAATTCACTGGCACTGAATGAAAGACAGTTATCCTCTCTCCTATCCCTTTACCCTGTTGTCATTCTTTTTGCTTTGCAACTTCTCATCCAGATTCTTCTCCTCCTAACACTGTCCCTGGACTCTCTGAAATGCTTGTTCCAACACTAACAGCCCCTCTGCATCTGTTACCTTATTTCAGAATGCTTTCTCCATATGTTTTCCCTAACTGAATGGCGGAGGATTAGAGATGAGACATGGTGCTGGAAATGACTGACACAAATATTCTTATACCAGTACAGGTTGTTTTGATGGCAGCATCCTATAATGAGGGTCCCAACCTAGTATCAGAGAAGATGGGAGATGAACAAATTTATGAGGGTCCCAGTACCAAGTGGACCTGTTTCAGGGTGTTCAAAGTAGCTGGGAGGTCCAGGGACAGGATAAACATTGCCAACAGATTGCAAAGTCTGGTAAGGAGCAAGGCAGCCCTCATACTTGTCTGAACTGATTGTTTAGGGCAGGAGAGGAGGCACAATAGTGAAAGTAATGGCCAGTTCTAGTTAACTATCTACAAGGAACTGCCAACTCATTATTTTTCTTTATCACAGTTTGCTTTGCAAACCAACAAGCAAAAATACCAAGCTATTCATATACAAGCATAAATGTCATCTGTGTAAATATAAATACTAAACACTAGAGCTTTTCAATGATCAAGAGACATTAAAGATTGATGTCAGATATATGTCCACTTCTTGAATCTTATTCTTTAGGGCCACCAGTCCCCAGACACCATCTTTGTCTTTTTGTCATCATTGAGATCTTTGCCATTCCAAGCTAACCCATCCCAGTGTTCAAGAGCCACGCCGCCGCAGCCGCCTCCTCCTCCTCCTCCTCCTCCTCCTCCTCCTCCTCCTCCTCCTCCTTCTCCTCCTCCTCCTCCTCCTCCTCCTCCTCCTCCTCCTCCTCCTCCTCCTCCTCCTCCTCCTTCTTCTTCTTCTTCTTCTTCTTCTTCTTCTTCTTCTTCTTCTTCTTCTTCTTCTTCTTCTTCTTCTTCTTCTTCTTCTCCTCCTTCTTCTTCTTCTTCTCCTTCTTCTCCTTCTTCTCCTTCTTCTTCTTCCTCTTCTTCCTCTTCTTCTTCTTCTTGTTCTGGGATACATGTGCAGAACATGCAGGTTTGTTACACAGGTATACATGTGCCATGGTGGTTTGCTGCAACCATCAACCCGTCAACTACATTAGGTATTTCTCCTAATGCTATCCCTCCCCTACCTGCTAAACCCCAACAGACCCTAGTGTGTGATGTTCCCCTCCCTGTGTCCATGTGTTCTCATTGTCAGCTCCCACTTATGAGTGAGACTATGTGGTGTTTGGTTTTCTGTTCTTGTGTTAGTTTGCTGAGAATGATGGCTTAGAGCTTCATCCATGTCCCTGAAAAGGACATGAACTCATCCTTTTTGTGACTGCATAGTATTAGATGGTGTATATGTGCCACATTTTCTTTATCCAGTCTATCATTGATGGGCATTTGGGCTGGTTCCAAGTCTTTGCTATTGTGCATAGTGGTGCAGTAAACACACATGTGCATGTGTCTTTATAGTAGAATGGTTTATAATCCTTTTGGTATGGACCCAGAAATGGGATTGCTGGGTCAAATGATATTTCTGTTTCTAGGTCCTTGAGGAGTTGCCACACTGTCTTTCACAATAGTTTAACTAATTTACACTCCCACCAACAGTGTAAAACAGTCCCTATTTCTCCACATACTCTCCTGACTTTGTAATGATCACCATTGTAACTGGCTTGAGATGGTATCTCATTGTGGTTTTGATTTGCATTTCTCTAATGACCAGTGATAATGAGCTTTTTTTCATATGTTTGTTGGCCACATAAATGTCTTCTTTTGATAAGTGTCTGTTCACATTCTTCTCCCACTTTTTGATAGGGTTGTTTGCTTTTTTTCTTGTAAATGTGTTTAAGTTTCTTGTAGATTCTGGATAACAACCATTGTCAGATAGATAGATTGCCAAAATTTTCTCCCATTCTATAGGTGGCTTGTTCACTCTGATGATAGTTTCTTTTGCTGTACAGAAGCTCTTTTGTTTAATTAAATCCCATTTGTCAATTTTGGCTTTTGTTGCCATTGCTTTTGGTGTTTTAGTCATGAAGCCTTTGCCCATGCCTATGTCCTGAATGGTATTGCCTAGGTTTTCTTCTAGGATTTTTCTTGTTTCAGGTCTTACATTTAAGTCTTTAATCCATCTTGAGTTAATTTTTGTATAAGGTGTAAGGAAGGGGTCTAGTTTCCAGTAAGAAGTCAAATCCCTGAATAGACCAATAACAAGTTCTGAAATTGGGGCAGTAATTAATAGCCTACCAACCAAAAAAAAAGCGCAGGACCAGAAGGATTCACAGCCAAATTCTACCAGAGGTACAAAGAGGAGCTGGTACAATTTCTTCTGAAATTATTCCAAACAATATAGAAAGAGGGACTCCTCCCTAACTCATTTTATGAGGCCATCCTTATACCAAAACCCGCCAGAGACACAACAACAACAACAACAACAACAACAACAAAAAAGAAAACTTCATGCCAATATCCCTGATGAACATCTATGTGAAAAATCCTCAGTAAAGTACTGGCAAACCGAATCCAGCCCCACATCCAAAAGCTTATTCACCATGATCAACTCTGCTTCATCCCTGGGATGCAAGGCTGGTTCAACATATGCAAATCAATAAGCATAATCCATCACATAAACAGAACTAATGGAAAAAAAACACATGATTATCTCAATAGATGCAGAAAAGGCCTTTGATAAAATTCAACACCCTTTCATGCTAAAAACTCTCAATGAACTAGGTATTGATGGAACATATCTCAAAATAATAAGAGATCTTTATGACAAACCCACAGCCAGTATCATACTAAATGGGCAAAAGCTGGAAGCATTCCCTTTGAAAACCAGCACAAGACAAGTATGCCCTCTCTCACCACTCCTATTCAACATAGTATTGGAAGTTCTGGCCAGGGCAATCAGGCAAGAGAAAGAAATAAAGGGTATTCAAATAGGAAAAGAGGAATTTAAATTGTCTCTGTTTGCAGATGACATGTATATTTAGAAAACCCCATCGTCTCAGCCCAAAATCTTCTTAAGCTGATTAGCAACTTCAGCAAAGTCTCAGGATACAAAATCAATGTGCAAAAATCACAAACATTCCTATACACCAATAACAGACAAACAGAGAGACAAATCATGAGTGAACTCCCACTCACAATTGCTACAAAGACAATAAAATACCTAGGAATCCAACTTACAAGGGATGTGAAGGACCTCTTCAAGGAGAACTGCAAACCACTGCTCAAAGAAATAAAAAAGGACACAAATAAATGGAAAAAACATTCTATGCTCATGGATAGGAAGAATCAATATAGTGAAAATGGCCATATTGCCCAAAGTAATTTATAGATCAATGCTATCCCCATTAAGCTACCATTGACTTTCTTCACAGGATTAGAAAAAACTACTTTAAATTTCATATGGGACCAAAAAAGAGTCTATATAGCCAAGACAATCCTAAACAAAAAGACCATATCTGGAGACATCACACTACCCAACTTCAAACTATACTGCAAGACTACAGTAACCAAAACAGCATGGTACTTGGTACCAAAACTGACATATAGACCAATGGAACAGAACAGAGGCCTTGGAAATAATGCCACACATCTACAATCATCTGATCTTTGAAAAACCTGACAAAAACAAGCAATGGGGAAAGGATTCCCTGTTTAATAAATGGTGTTGGGAAAACTGGCTAGCCATAAGCAGAGCCAGTCATTTCTTAGTATGCATTGAACTCATGCCAAACTATTGTTTCTCACTATTATTGTCTAAAAAACAACGTGTACTAGAAATGTGAGACAGGAAATGTCCATCTGACCTTATTACGGTAGAAGGAATTTTCCAGAGTCCATATGCTGATGTAATTATTTTAAGAATTATTTTTATTTTTTAAAGTGGTAGATCCTTAGAACAATTGTCTTTGCTGTCACCGGCATAGCACATGGCTTATCATCTTCCGTTTGGAGGAACAGAGCACTGTAATTGCTGCAATCAGGTTTTATATTATTTTCTAATTAGGTTTTAGGAGTTCTTTTTATTTGCTTGGTTTATTTGTGTGTGTGAAATGTAACATATATATTTGTATGTCTTAAGCTTTACTTCCTTTGGAAGGTCCTTAATTTATTTTACATATTCCTTTTTCCACAAAGCTATGACCATATAACTTACTTCCTTCTGTTCCAGTATTGTACTTTATGTAATTTCCTGTAAACAGCAGCAAACAACTTCAGTATACACTAGCTGTTTGTTCAGTGTTCTTGCAGTACTTACAATGGACATTTCTCAGCATAATTAATCTCTTTTTAAAATTTGGCCCTATTCTTGTCAGCACCAATACTATACTTTGAAATGAATGGAAATGCAGTAGTCATTGAAGGGATACGAATTAAATCTTAAACTGGGTCTAGGGATGAGGTGACAAGGGAAAGAACTCTCACAAACCTGGTGCTTTGTTTCTCCTTTGTGAAGTGAAAAGCAATGAGCTATACTCTGTGAAAGAAAGGAAATGGTGCTGACGAGCTTTTCCCCAACCACTGTCCACCTGTGGTTCAGAACTAGCAGAAGTCAACTAGTTATTTAGTTTGCTAGCACATTAAGTGTGACATTTGATTATATGAGCATCAAGAACTAGATATTCAGGCATAATTCACGTCCTTTTTCTCTTTCATTATAATGAGTAACTTTAATTCTTGTTTTATATTTGCTTGAATCCATGATCTGTTTTTAATCCTGTATCTTCTGTGTCTGACAGGCTCCATTTCATCCATTTTTTAGTTGTCTTTTTTTTTCCATATAGTTTTACAGAATCCCGCAAATCCTTTTCTCACTAGTAGTACTATTTCTAATGCCAATTTAAACCTTTTTATTCCAGCATACTTTGTGCAGAATGAATTAAGTGTATCTATAGAGAATGAATGATTGGTATTCAGCCAAGCTTTGCCTGTGTCTTTCCATGACCAAAAACAAGTCAGGTGAAAAGGGAAAAAAAAATCAGTGAGTCTGTTGTTTCATCTTTATGACTCTGAACAATCTATTTGTATATTTTGGGAAAATTTTTTCTCATTGAATCACTGTGTATATTTATCATGTATTCAACTGATAGTTGAATTTTCATTATATAGCTATATGGTAAAAAGTTTTGAATGAGAAACTACTTTTTATAGCCATTTCAGAAACAAGTAAGGTCAGTGAGCATCTTGTTTTAGGAAGAGGGGGATGGTGGGGACATTGGACTGAAAGGAAGTCCTATGTCAGAGGGCTCTGTGCACATTTTCCTGAAGTACCTCAGCTATGCTTAAATGTAATCTGTTATTTTAACCAATCATAATGGTTGCATTTTGCCTTTTCTCATATAAATTATAAATGTGATGACTTATAAATATGGCAAAAGTTTATTTTTCAGGATGCCTCTCCCTTCTCTAACTCGAACAGACTAAATTCTGTTTCCAAAGACTTCAAAAGTGACCAGATTATTGTGAAAGGAGAAACACTGTTTTCGAGGGCTGCTGATAATGCCTGGTAGCCAGAAGAAACAGCCTGAATCATTCAAAGGTTTTCTACCTGGCAAAGAAATGTGGTAAAAATCTTGCCCAGATCTGCATGTGCTAAGCATCCAGGTAAGTTGGAGCATCATATTAATGGCACACAGTGAAGAAACGAAAGGTAAAACTATAATGCAATGTATTTCTGTGCCTCATGTTGAAACTTCACATTCAAAGGGTAAAGGGACTTCATTCTTCTTCTCCTTCCCCAGCTTGTCTATTGCAGTTTTGTATTGAAATGTTCTCTGGATTCATAAAATATTTAGGGACTACATAAAGAAGAAAGACTTTGGAATCAAAGGCAAGGTTCACCTAACACAACTTTTGTTAGAAGAAACTAGGAAATCAGGATCTATCAAAGGCCCAGTGTTAATCGGTACCGGTTTCTCACTGTGTTTTGATTAGAAGAATATTGAACAGCAAACATTTAAGGATTTGTTTGACTGAATATCGACTTAAAGTTCTGATCTCTAGTAATGTCAGACGTATTGCCTTGGTAAATTGTACAGGTGAATTGTTAAAGATGAAAACATAACATATATTTATTGTTTGAATAACTTTAGAGAAAAAACCCCTAATGCTATTTATTTTTCAGAATCAAGTGTAATTACTATATCAAAAATCCACAGAATGTGAAAGTATAAAGGAAAACTATCAGGTGAGACTCAATTATTTTTATTTCAAAGATATAGGTAAAAATGTGAACAGATCGGGAGGCTGAGGCATGATAATCACTTGAACCCAGGAGACAGAGATTGCAGTGAGCCAAGATTGTGCCATTGGACTCCAGCCTGGGCAACAGCACGAGACTCTGTCTCAAAAAAAAAAAAAAAATGTGAACAGATACATTGACATAAAATTCATAAAACATATGAATACATTAAAAACTAGGAAGCCTGGTTGCCTCTGAGGATAAGAGTTGAGGACAAATGTGTCAAGAATACTTTGCACGGCTTATACTATTGCAGTATTTGAATTTTTTTCTTGTACATGTATAACTTTTTTAAGAAGAACGAGAAATATTGTACAAGTGTAACTATTTTTACTGTAAGTTTTTATTTCCATAAAACTATAATTAAGCATGTGGTCAATAGATCAATATCCTGTTATATAGCTTTGATATCCTTTGAATTTGTATACCTGGTAACACTAGCTCATGTTTGTAAATCCTTTGGAACTCTTAAAACGATTTTACATACATTACCTAATTTGTAAGATTGCAAAACTATTACATTAGCTTTTCTGGTATTCTTGTCTTAATACGTGATTATCATATTAAACTGCAGTGTTGTTTTTTTTCCATCATGTCACACACACAAAATAGGAAACCAGCAGTTGTGATTTTCTTCAGCAATTCTTAATGTAAGTTTTTAATAGTTTAGTACTTTTCTTTCATAAGTATTAGACCAAGCTGTAATAGAATTATACGACTCATGCTTTCAGAACAGAGCCTTCTGTTACTCGTGTATTTATCTTGATGGCCATATGACCATGTGAAGTTCCGTCACGATGCTAAGGGATGTTACGTTTGTCTTATCCACTGAACTCAAGCCAGGGTGTTGGAGAATTCAGTAGCTGAGTCTGAGGGTAAATTAAAATATCAGTCAAAATTAAAAGGACTGTGTGAAAGGGGAGTGAGCCTACAGGCTATTATGAGATTTGTCCTGCCCAGTTTAATACAACCCCTTCTCTGCTAAAGGGTAAGTAGGATGACTTTTCACACAAATAGAAGACCAGGTCAGAAAAAAGATCCACTCGCTTTCCTTCTGCTTGGCTTACTGGACTTGTAGGCAGATCTAGGTTTTCCTATTTTATTAATGGTTATGGAGCTGAATTTCTTTCCAACAGAAGTTGTTATTTGAGTTTAGCAACATTGATAAAATTGGCACATCAAACCACTTTATACAGAAAAGGGCTTCATGGACAGTGACCTGCTGTGAGTTGGCTGACAGTTGAAATGATGAACAATGCTGTTTAGTTCTGCACTTTATGCCTGCCAGAGACTAAGAATAACTTGACCAATAAGGAGGGCGGATCTTTGTTAGCCTTTCTGCATTATTTCTTCCAATTTAGTATTTAACCTCAGGAAAGAATCAATCACATGTGGGTGGCTATTCGTTGTAATATTTAAAGGAAAAGTAGCACAGTGGTCAAGGGTGAAGGCTAGGAGTCAAAGAGACTTAAATTCAAATTCCAGCTCCACCCTTTACCACACATGGGAACATGGGCAAGTTACTTCACTTCTTCAACCATTGGTTTCCTCATTTCTAAGATAAATCTTGTTGGAATGATTTTTTTCAAAATGAATTAAGTGTATAGTAGAGGGCCTACAGTTTTATATGGTTTATATAATTACTAAAATTTTTTGTGTATGATTGTAATAACTACATACAAAATTTCATGGTAAATGCATAAAAACTGACTATTGACTATGCCATCCCCCACTCCACTCCCCACCATTCATTCCTAAGCCCACTCCAGACAGGCAATCCGCCATTCCACTGATACTACACTTGACAAGGTCACCAATGACACTTACACTGCTAAATGCAGTGGCCAGTTCTCAGTCTTCATCAGAATTCAGCATTCAGCAGCCTTTGGAAAAGTTAATCTTGCATTCCAGTGCCTGCCTTGTTTTGTTTTCCTAATCTCTAAACATTGGAAGGCTCCAGTGCTCCATCCTCTGGCCTCTTCTCTACCCATAACCCCTCCCCTGGTGACCTCATCTAATCTTGAAGATTTGCTATCATGTAGATGCTACTGACTTCTCAAATATATATTTCCAGTTCACATCTCCCCCATGACTTCCAGGCTTCTTTATCCAACTGCCTGTTCAATTTCTACTTGAATGTCTTAGGTGGTTTCTCAAACTTTGCATGTGAAAAACTAAACACCTTGATCTTCCTAAAAATCTGTTTCTCTATCATTTAGTTGCTCAGCTAAAAACTTTGGAGTTAGACATATGGACAGCCCACCCCAAGGAAAGAATCAGAGGAGAAGGGACACAAGACCCCGGAAACAAACGAAGCACCTTAATATGCATGCTGCATCTCTCTAAAATGGTGGAACCTGTTTACCTGCTCTGGAGAATGGCTGCCTGGGGCAGACATAGGAGTTGTTCTTACGCTGTGCTTCCTGTGTTCCACAGTAATGGAATTGTAGCTGCAAGGCAGTTACCAACCAGGAATACAATTTCTCAGCCCCACATCTTGCACCTACAGCTAAGTGTGGCCATATGACCAGTTTTCATCAATTAAGTGTGAATAGAAACAAAGTGTACAACCTTCAAGTGGAGACTTTGAAGAAGAAGGGCAGCCATCCCTTGTTCTCTTTCCCCTTCCGCTGGTGGGATACAGATGACAATAAGGCCTTGGGTTTTGAGGTAGCCACAGATGCAAAATGCCTCAGACCTGAGTCACAATGTGGAAAAGAGAAGTCTACTTACCTGGAACACCCAGCTTGGTCTATAGATGACCAAGAAATAAACTTCTATTATGTTTGAACATTACAGATTTTGTTCGTTATAGTAGTTTATCTCATCCTGACTAAACTGTTGCATATCTTTCAAGATAGGCCCTCCTTCCCTGAAAGTGACTTCTTCATACATGTAATCTATATTTTAATTCATATTCTCCAAAGCATATCTACATCTATTCAACTATTTTCATGTGTTCCATCAACAGAAACTTCATATAAATAAATATATATGAAGATTTTTTTTTTTTAAAGACACTTTGGAGTTATCCTTGACTCTGTCCTCTTTTCTCACATTCATATCCAAACTATCAAGAAATCTTGTTGACTCAACCTTCAAAATCTATCCAGGATTTAACCACTAATCAACCCCTTCTCCTCTGTCAGTCTGTCCCCCTACATTTCATCTTGATCATCCTTAGAAACTCCTAACCAGTCTTATTGCTTTCACCATTGTACTTCCAGACTATTCTCAAATGGCAGCCAGTCAATGAGATCCTGCTGCACTTCTGCTCAAAACCTGCAAATGACTTCCTACCTCACTTAGGGTAAAACCAAATGGGACCTGCACAATCTGGCCTCACCTCCTAGTGTTTTCCTCCTTGCTCATTCTGCCCAGTCACACTGCTCTTCTTGCTTTCCCATGAACGTGCTAGACACACTCTCATGTTTGGGCTTTTGCTCTTGTTTGCCTTCCCAGAATACTCTCCTCAAGGATACGCATATATCCAGCCCCTCATCTCCTTCAAATTTTAGTTCAGATACCACTTTCTCAATGAGGGTTTTCTGACCAGCCTATTTAAACTTAGAGTCTCCCCTTATCTAAAGCCTTGTCTTCCTTCCTGCTTCACTTTTCTTCATAGTAATTACCACCATCTGACTTATATTTGCTTGCCTTTCTTGTTGATCTTCTGTTTTCCCCACTCAAATGTAATCCATAAGGGAAGGGATTGTTGTTTCATTTGTTCACTTCTCTATCCCCTGGGCCTGAGCCTGGCTTTGGGTAGACACCCAGTAAATGTTTGTTCAAATGAATAAATGAATGAGTGGCATTTACTACCTTATACGGTATTATAATATAAAAGCATATGATGCAGAGAATTAGGAATCTAGAAACTAGTTTTGACTGAGCCTGCTATGAATAAGGTTATGTAGACAAGTCATTTCACCTCTCTGAGCCTCATTTTTCTAATATTTAAAATCTACCCTCCAGAGCTGTAAAATGTTCAAATATAGATTATCTTAGGGAGTGCAGTCTCATGCTTGCACAATGAAAGAAGTTCATTTCTACATACCTTCCATGTACCCACAATCAATGTTTTATGTAAACCTTGCCTCAGGAAAATTAATTTCTGTATGAGCAGATTTTTTAAAAATTGTCACCGAAATAAATACCCAATTAAGCCAAAATCTTCTCCAGAGACAGGATGCAATGGAGAAGCTCTAGCAGAATTAGGTTCTGTCATCTTTTAGGGTGCATGAGAAGGAAATGAGAAACGCACATTTGATGCCTTCTTTATATCCTTGCACTCATATTAGAGTTTGAATTAAAGAACAAGAAACAAAACAGACTTTGCATTTTTCATCTTTAGCCAAGCTCCCCTGGTTTACATAGTCATAATATAATTCAAATGATCATTTTTGGAGTTTTGATTTTTAGTGCTCTTTTTCTCAGCTAGGAGAAATGAATATCTGATGCTTTGTTTTACCAAATTGTGGTATGAAAACTGAGTAATGTTATAAAGCTTTTTAAATATTTTAGAGGTATAGCAAGTGAACTATTTTATAAGTTTCTGGGATTTTTGGAAATTTATTTTTATTTTTATTTTTTATTGAGACAGGGTCTTGCTGCGTTGCCCAGGCTGGAGTGCAGTGGTGTGATCTCGGCTCACTGCAACCTCTGCTGCCCAGGTTCAAGCGATTCTCATGCCTCAGCCTCTCAAGTAGCTGGGACTACAGTCCTGCGCCACCTCACCTGGATAATTTTTTTTTTTTTTGTATTTTTAGTAGAGATGGGGTTGCGCCATGCTGGCCAGTCTGGTCTCGAACTCCTGACCTAAAGTGACCCACCCACCTCAGTCTCCCAAAGGGCTGGGATTACAGGTGTGAGCCACTGTGCCCAGCCTGAACATATTTTTCATGTTCAATATAATGATAACTACCTAGTAAAATCTTACTTGTTCAAATTCCCTTGATTTATTTTCTAACAAATACCTCAATATTTCTCTTATATGCTGGTCACTTATCAAATAGATTCCCAGTGAACCTTTTGATTGATTAATGTATAACTTGATCAGGTACTGAATTTACATTTGCTTAGTGAGGCCCACCTTGAAAAATAGTGCAAATGATTTTTTCAGATTAGATAGGGAGAAAGAAATCATACAAATACTAAAAACAAACTTTAGAAGTGGCTGTTAATATGTAAGATTTTCGAGGCCCATGATAAAGGGATTCTAGTTCTAGATCTGCTTTCCACATTCTTCAATTCCAAGGGACATCTTCAGCATAAGCTACTGACTGACCTGACTAATGCTTCATGCAACCTTTCTTGAGCTTTGGCGTTTGTCCTGTTTGCCCCTCAATCCTCATAAGGTCTCCTTGTGCATGTGCCCCTCCTTGAATTTGTGTGTGAGTTGCTGCCTCATTCCTGGTATATGTTCCTTATGTTTTTATTTCCTATCTTTTAGTATATAAGTAGGTAGATAGATAGATAGATTGATGACTGATTGATAGAAATAGATATATAATTTATTTTCCAGTGGGTTGATCTTTAAGGTTTTCAGGCATGGGAGTAATATAACCACCCTATCCCTCTGTGTGGTGGGATAGGGTAGAGTATGGCTGTGGCCAGAGAGACCAACAGAACAGTGTAAGAAAGTATAAAAGTCTTGACCTATAGCATAGATATGCAAGAAATAAATGAAGACACTGCAGTTTAATGTGCTATTTGCAAGTTTTAAAAGTCTGTCAGTGGGAGAATTGAATAGCAAATAAAGTTTTCATTGTTAACTTTGTAACGATAAGTTTCTGATCATCTGTAACACAACAATAAAGTAAGAAAGCTCAAAAGTATTCTCAAATTTCCCCATCAGGGAATAATTTCTTCCTGAATATCACTCACAGCTTCCTGGAATAATAATGCAGTATAACTTTTTTATTTAATTGACACATAGGAGCCAATTTCTATTGTCTCTCCGCCAACCCTCCTACTCTTCACCAGTCTGGGTTGTCACTGTATCTATGTATTCACATACATAGTATTCTTTTCTTATATCTATCCTAGAATATGTATGTATAACACCATAATACAAGTCTACTGTCTCTTATCTGCAATCACAAATCCATATAGCTCTGAAAACCAGAAGTTTGTTTTATGATTGGTGCCAAAATTTATTTTGCAGCAAAACCTGGCTTGAACAGACATGAGGCTTGCTAGCTGATATGCCCCACTAGATGGGGAGCTTTATGGAGGCAGTCTTGATTCTTCCTGTCTGCCTGGGATCTAGTATATCTCAACAAATATCAAATATTTGGAATAAGCAAATGAGTATTTTCTATCAATTTAATATATTTGAATTTATTAGTCTTCCTCTGTTCTTATTTATTTATTTGTTTTTTGAGACAGAGTCTCACTCTGTTACCCAGGCTGGAGAGCAGTGGCATGATCACAGCTCACTACAGCCTCAAACTCTCAGGCTCCAACAATCGTCCTGCCTCAGCCTCCTGAGTAGCTGGGACTACAGGCACGCACCATCACACTCGGCTAATTTTTGTAGAGATGGGGTTTTGCCATGTTGGCCAGGCTGGTCTTGAACTAGGCTCAAGGGAACCACCCACCTCGGCCTCTCTAAGTGTTGGGATTACAGATATGAGCCACTGCGCCTGGCCTCTGTTCTTACTTTTTAAATGTTAAAACTTTGAGAAAACAAGAGTTAGGGCTAATAAGTGCTTTTCCAAAATTTATTTTTAAACTGAAAATAAAAACATTTGGTTAGACTGAAAAATCAATGACAGAACCAAGAATAATATCATGTTTCCTGGGTTTTAGATTAGTATTTTCTTACCTAGATAAGACTAATATTATGAATGCCAGATAACTCCAAGGTCAAGAAAAACAGCTTTCTTTAAAATCTATTAAAATCTTATGAGTGAAAATGATGAAAATAATGTTATTTTACTCCCGTGCCTGAAAACACTTAAGGGCTCCCCATTGGGGAAAAAAATATGAATCAACATCTATGTATGTATATATTTACTTATATACATATTATGCCACTAAAAAATCAGAAATAAGAATGTAGGGCAGATAGATCAAGAATGAGATAGCAACTTATATACGAACTTAGGTAGGAGAACTTGTAAATGTATTTTGAATATTTGATGCTTCTCCAAATTATTTCACCTTTTCTTTATACATGCTTTTATGTGGGTTCACACATATAAAAATTATGTATATTGTACACAAGTTCTTATTATTTTCTACATTTTGAGGAAATTTTGAGGAAGTAAACCTCTGCTTTATGAAACATCCACTCATGATATCAATAATTGCCAAATAGAATCTTTTTCATAAAACACTCATGACCTAAATTGAAAAACATAAAAATTTTATTGAAGTTATAAATGTCAGTACACAAGTACTGTTATCAAGTATTAGAATTATGATATACCCTAACATCTATTATTCTGCCTTGCATTATCATTCTAAATTTTGTAAATATTTCTTGAGTCATAAAGAAAGAAATTTCTCTTTGAGCCATCTAACTTTCTTCCTTCTAATATTCAATTTATTGAATAGGATGCCATTCTATTTCATTTGATGAATTCTCATCTGATGTCCATTTACAGTTCGCCCTTAAACAACATGGATTTGAACTGCATGAGTCCATTTATACGTGAATTTTATTTTAGTAAATATATTGAAAAATTTTTTGGAGATTTGCGACAATTTGAAAAAACTTGCAGACAAACTGCATAGCGTAGAAATACTTTTTAAAAAATTTTTTGGCCGAGTGCGGTGGCTCAGGCCTGTAATCCCAGCACTTTGGGAGTTTGAGGTGGGCAGATCACCTGAGCTCGGGAATTCGAGACCAGCCTGGACAACATGGTAAAACCTCCTCTCTACTAAAAATACAAAACTTAGCAAGGCGTGGTGGCGGAAGCCTGTAGTCCCAGCTACTTGGAAGGCTGAGGCACGAGAATCACTTGAACTCGAGAGGTGGAGGTTGCAGTAAACTGAGATTGCACCACCGTAC